CCGGAGATGGCTACTTTCAAAAAAAAAATATGCATTTAAATACAATGATTCGCGAACTCGGTCTTCCATCCATATTCATTACCTTATCAATGGCTGAAGGTTCATGGAGTCATCTTCGTAATATACTTACCGGTACCGATAACAATAATCCGTTACCAACCAACAGGCCTTTACATACAACACTTCACTTTATTCACAGATTGCAAAATCTAAAAAAACATGTTTGGAAAAATCAAAATATTAGTGAATGGGGCTCTTATACCCATTTTTTTGATCGAATAGAATTTCAAAATCGTGGAGCAGCTCACTTACATGGAGTCTATTGGACAACATCAAATATAGCTGAAATGATTAGCTTAAACACTATTCGATCAACCCTTCCAGATCCCAATTTAGAACAAGAGCTTTACCAAAAAGTCTGCGCATTCCAAATACACACATGTAGTTCTAAATGTGGAGGTCCAGCTCCATCAGGTTCTACATGCAAAAAAGGTTTCCCTCGTCCATTTTCTGAATCTACTCATTACGATCCCAATAACTATAGATATACTTATAAATGCCTAACTCCAGAAGACCAATGGATAATTCCATACCACGCACCTACTCTAATGATATGGAATGCTCATATCAATGTTCAATATATTACAAGCAAAGGTCTTGCCCGTTACATAACTAAATATATAAGTAAATCCGAACCTACACATTTGTTTAATATACGTGAAGGAATACATTACCGTGAATATATCCATGCACGACGAATGGGCTCAATGGAGCTAATGTTTTTATTACTCGGTGAACGCATTGTAAACTCATCAATACAGGTTCAATATTTAACAACAGATCCTCCAAATACTCGATCTAAAGCAGTTCTTCCACTCTATATGATCAATTCTCTTGATGATGATCTATATTGGAATGATAAAATAGAAAAATACTTTGCACGACCAATAGATAGAGTATTCGATGACATAACTTATAAAACCTATTTTGAATTATATGATATTAAATTAACTTTACCAAATATGTCTAATAGAACAATATATCGCGATAACTTTGGAAATTTTGTTATT